GACGTCAATATGAAGGTCTAGTACTAGGGATGATAACCGTAACTCCATATGTATGCTACCTAGTCAATGTGAGACAATACATCCATTATTATCCTCAAACACTACCAAACAGAATGCATACACAGTACTAAAGAAACGCATGAAAAACAGAAAAGGCCTTATGTAAAATGTGTACGGGTTTGAGTGCTGAGCCGTGTTTCCTCCCCTTAAGTCAATGTGACCGACTGAAATTATGTATGGGTGCATTGGCTTAAGCCGTAAGAGACTTGGACCTGCCTCGCATGGGCCAGTAGGCGCTCTGCAGTTTTCCTTCGTTCTTATGTTCTTATTGTGTTCCTTATGATGGATGTATGTACAATTATAGCAACCGGTGCCAGAATCATTTAGTTGTAACAAATGCACTTTGGCACAGTTACCCCTTTAGCAGTGATGACATTGATTTAACCTAATTTTAAAATACAAATGACCCATTGCATATAGGGAGATATATGATTGTGTTTATGAAAAAGGCCTTCACTTTATTCATGTCAATTCAAGATCACTTCTTCCTGAATTGGCAGAGATTAAGGAATTCTAGCTAACAAAATTAGGGCGGCAGTTATAACCATCTCTGAATCTTGGTTGGATTATACGGTGACTGGACGACGATGTCAAAATAGAAGGTTTTCAATATAAAACGCCTTAGATATGAAACAAAAGGGGCGGTGGAGTATGTTGCCTACATATTAGAAATTGACTTAGCTTACAACCCAAGACCTGATTTAAATAATAAACTGGAGATTTCAATGGTTTGAAAGTGCTCTTCCCAAGAACCAAACCCATCTTAGTAGGAACTATTTCCGCCCTCACTACCCAGGACCAGTTCTTAGAAGACATTTCAGAGTCTTTTCCGGATTGAAAGGCAATTGGCCCGAAACAATAATACTACTGGGGCGACTTCAATATCTGTTTTCAGCAACAGATTAACGGGCTATGCAAAAGGTAATAAAGCAAATTCTAGGATTAAATAGCACCCCCACTAAATAATAAACCAACCCGGACAACACAGTTCTCAGCCACCCAAATTGACCACATACTTGCATCCGCGCTGAGAAACATTAGTCAGTCAGGCGTCATTACCACAGCTAGTGATCATTTCATCAATTACTGCACCAGGAAAATCCTAGGGATAGGATAGGCCTACACAGACAATAAAAATGATGTCACTAGAAACTACAGTAAAGAAACACTGGTAATAGGCCTACACAATTGTGACAGGACAGAGATAACAAGTGCACGGACGTAAACATGCCTGGTAAAAATTCAAAACAATGATCCCATCTACCATTCTTAATAATATTGCAACCAGTAAAGAGTTAGGATAAACCGAAGAACTTCACCCTGATACTACAGAGATATTAGAAAAGTATGAAATTCAGAGACCACTCTAAAAGATTTAAAGCAAACAGACAATATGGCAGCACTAAATGGGAATACCAAAGGGTGAGGAACAGAGTAACAGAGGCTAAAAAGGAAGCAAAAAGGCAAAGCACTATTGCTCAAAAATTGAAGAATATAAGCATAAATAACCCCAGAAAGCTCTGCCAACACTAAAACATTTGGGATATACCATAAGCCAGTAGGATAAGGTCTAACATAGTACTCACTATCGATAATGAGTATGCCACGAAACTTCTAAGGTGCAAAATTGCTTAATTCCTACTACAAACACTGTTGCATCAACACTATAAGGTAAACACCATCTGCATCAAATACCTTAACCACAGACTCTGATAAGTTCAAACATACTATACCATAAAGGGGTAACCCCAACAGTTTGTCAACAAGTAAGTGTAATCTTCATACCTTCATTCAAAAAGAACTACGCAGGTTGTAAACCCAACTAAGAGCACCGGCCCTTGATAACATCCCATCAAATTCCTAAAAGATGGTGCTTTTGAACTGTCAATTCCCCTATTGCTCACATAAAAAATCTATCAATCCCACTATACCGTACCGGAAGGGGTTCAAGGAGGCCAGAGTACTTCCTATCTTCAAGAAAATAATAGGTCTGATGTAAGCAACTAAAGACCTGTTTAGTATACCTCAGTAAAATAGCTAAAAATCTGAGAGGCGGTTTATTCCAAGTATTATGTACCTTAATGACAACAGCATTCTCCATAGCTATCAATCGTTCTTTAGAATATCCTACTCCAACCGTGATACCGTCCCTTATTGATCTGCTGATGATAACCTGAGAACTGAAATGTCAAAGGGAACCACATAGGTATGGCAATAACCTAAGACCTGCAAAAGGCCTTCGATACTGTCAACCACAATGATATTATGTAATAAACTTCAATCTAACGTATAGGGTTCAGTAACTGGTTTAAGTCCATACCTACACAGAGACAAATAGTCAAAAATCAACAAAACGGAAGTCAGAACCCCTGCCGATAACATGTGGAGTTCCCAAAGGTAATTATTCTGGGTCCCTTTACTAATCTATGTTATTCAATGAAATGCCTATCAGTTGTCAAGTGCAACTCTACTGTATGCAGAATGACAGAGCTCTGTTTATGACAGTAAAAGACCCACAGATATCGCTAATGTTTTAACACTGGAACGGATCCTGCAGCAAATGGTTAGTAGACAACAAAACTATCATTACACATAAGGGAAAAACTGAAAGCCATTCTCTTTGGAACGAAACAAATACTTGAGAAGGGTAAATAATTAAAATGTTCAGTGTAATGGAGTCCATCACTTTGGTTTTCATCAGTTAAAATCTGGAATCCCCTTTGGACCCATGCATGTCAGGAGAATTGATAGTAACAGTGTAGTAAAGTAAGCGAATGGCCAGCTGATGTGTCCAGTAAATACAAGCACAGTGTCTACCTACTGAGGCTCGCAGGACCCTAAGATGTCTAGCCCTTCTACAATGCCATATTGGATTACGCTTGCTCTTCTTGGTACTCTCCCTTAACAAAAAAACATGAAAGATAGACTGCACAACACCCAGGAATCAAAATCGAAGATTCATCCTGGGCTGGGACCAAGGAGAACATGTAGTCCAGGATGAATTACGCATTGATAAGCTGAATGTTGAAGACAGAGTAAAACAACTGAACTAAATCAAGTTTATAAAATTCACACGAACAGTTCCAGATATTCTGCTGCCAATTTTGGTCAAGGTTGGAACCAAAGCAATCATAGTAGACTAGGGTAGAGAGCAACAACTTTGTAGTACCACAGTCCAGGGCCAGGCTTCAAAAACACCTTTTATTGTACAGCAATAAAGGAATGAATCAGACTACCCACAAATGTCAATGCCAGTCATAGCTTGAAACCAAGTTCAAGAAGACTGCCAAAAAGTGACTGATGAATGAGCAACAAAAGGGAGGGGAATGATTTTTCGTATTTTTATAGTAAAATACGTGTAAATTTTACCTTATCCCTAGTAATGAACCCGAAATTGTAGATAGTCGTTAATGACCCTCGGTAGTAGATATCTTAATGACCTCCGTATTGTAGATAGTCTTAATGACCCTCGTTAGTAGATAGGTCCTTTTAGTATGATAATACGATGTTATCTTCATTATATATAATAAGAAAATATTATAACCTTTATATTATAAAAATAAAGGTAAAAGGACCCCAATGGTAAATAAGTCACTCTGTCTGACTTTTTGGGTTTATCCTAGGTTTCTCTACACATATGCTGCTATGTAATGATAATTTCTATTAACTGTATTGTGTATACCTGAATAAATTTACTTACTTACTACACCACTCCCATTCTCATGCCACCGCTGGTGGTAACACAGATGGCTCTAAGTCTTCAAGATGGCGTCAGATTCGCAGCAGTGTTGTCCGTACAGCGTCGGCGGGGGCATTTACTATCGTTCAGCTAGCATTTTTACTGCTGAACTGTATGCCATTCTTGCAGCCACTTATTCGAATCGCATCTAATTGCCCAGTGTCATCATTTGTATAGTCCCACAGTCCTCACACCTCCTTAGTGCTCTACATGCTAAAACGAAAATTTGATACATCCCCTAGTTCTCCATATCCAACTTTGGCAAACGCCGTATCTCTAACTACGAAGCATAAAGAGATATGGGGGGGTCCCTGGTCATGTTGACGTACAGGGCAATGAACAGGCAGACACTGCTGCGCGGTCAGCAGTACATGACCTACCAATTTCCTATAGAGGTGTTCCATTTCTGGACTATTTTGCTACAATAGCTGCCCACCTTCGCGCCCGTTGGCAACAACGTTGGTCAACTCTGCTTGGTAACAAACTTCATTCTATTAAACCGAGCATAGGTTACTGGCCGTCTTCTTGTCATCAGTGCCGTGGTTGGGAGACCACTCTCTCCCGTCTTCGCATTGGCCACACTCGTCTTACTCACAGGTATCTCATGGAGAGGCACCCTGTACCTCTCTGTGAGCAGTGTCAAGTTCCAGTATCGATTAGCCACATTCTGTTAGACTGCCCTCTCTATCAACGAGCACGCAGAATTTACCTCCAACACCATCTTCGTTCTACTACTCTCTCTTTACCTTCCCTTCTTGCTGATGGACCCTCCTTTAATCCTGACTCTCTCATTGACTTCTTGACAATGACTGATTTACTCCACAAACTCTGATGATGATACCTTACGCATTCCCCTCAGCCCTTTCTAGCTCAGTCTCTTGCTGCCCTTGACCCTTTCACCATCCACTGCTCCGCTGTTATCCGTAACCTATTACTCATCCACCTCCCTGATGCCCTCGCTTCCTTCCTGCCCTGCAGCGCTGTATAGCCCTTGTGGCTTAGCGCTTCTTTTTCATTATAATAATAATAATCCAACTGCATGGCCTCATTACCTCAGCCAACTAGGAAATCTTTCCTACTTTTTCCATGCCCTTTTATGACCTTATTAACCAGACCTTCCATCACTTTACTGGAAAACCACACACACACACACACATACACTTTAAATTGTATTAATGTTGAAGGTGAAGAATGCTCAGTCTTTGAAAGTACTTTTATTTTTAATAAATAGCTTTGCACAAAGTCCAAAGAAGCAGAAAGAGGAAATCCATAATAGTACATCCAACTATAAGGCATTGATGGTGGCATATTCTTTGGTGTTTTAGCGTCCATACAGAAAAATGTTAGATGTTTACGTGTCTTATTCTCCTGAGTCACTTCATGATTTTTTTTTTGAATATCTGCCTTTTCTCTTAGAACTCTACACTGTATCTCAAGCAACACTAGGCACTGTCAGTATTCTACATTTTGAAACAATATGGAAAAGCACATTATCTATATGCTGGTAATAGGTATATACTAAAAGATATTTTAAGTCTTCCTCGATATACATGTTCAGTTAATCATCCCCACAAAGAAATGTTGCCATATTAATGAAGTATAATATTGTATTTGCATGTTAAATATTAACATTAAGACACTACTCATTATAAAGACAACTAGTAACTTAAGGAGATTCTAATCCATTGTTAGACAAAAGTGGACTTGTATTTAACACTGAAGAATTTAAGGCTAGCTTTTCAATGAGTAGTCCCCTCAAGGAAGGCTCCTTGACGCTGGTGAGGGGCTCTTGATCTAGGGAATTGGATCTGTGCTCCAGTTCCCTGAATTAAGCCTGAATGCCTTCTATCCCCCCATAGGCGCTGTATAATCCTACGGGTTTAGTGCTTCCCCCTTGATTATAGTAGTAGTTCAATGAGTAGCTGAAATGTTAGCTAAGAATTTGGTATGATTCACTCAAGTTGAAATGGATGCAAAGTATTATACTCTTACTAACTTTGAATTACCAACACTAGTAACAATTAGGGTAAGAGTTAGGAAAACCAGACTCGTTTTGGAGGGGCGAGTGTAATATTGGCATGTAAAATAGGAAGGGGATGGTGCAATTTGAGGGTCATCATTGTCACGTCTTTCCAGAGGGGCACAAATAACTAGTGTGTAAATGACATGGCTTTGTTGGGAAATGGCCAGGGTGCCAAGTCTTAATTCTGTACTGAAAAAGAGAATCTACATGAAATACTCATGCTCACTCTAGAATATAAATTGTGTTTATACTAGTCACCTCTCACACCATTCATAAACTACTTGAAAACAGAACATCACCTCATCATTATTTCACTTTGATGCAAAGGTTAGTCGTGTACTCTAATCATTTGTCATTTATTGCTTCAGTTTCAATTCTGTCTACAGAATGAACTAGACAAAATCTGATATCTATCCAATAAAATATCTCCATATTTTATTATCTATTCCACTGAATATCTTTCAAAAGTAGTTAACCAATAGAGAGTGGATGTATACAAATGTTTAAGTGAACATTTCTACCAGATCCAATTCATCTCTTATTCGCTAGTTACTGACACTGCCTTTTCTCTATGATCCACTTGTCCTAATATTATGTATGGGTGATAATATTGAAGGTAGTGGGGTCAAGACAACCTCAATATAGTAACTACAATACACACACTTAAACTGAATAAAGGTGAAAATAAATATGACAAACTTAATTTTCACCAACCATGTGGGAACTTGAAATCTAGTGCCAGGGACTTTTTCATTTTATTTTTATTTTTTTTTGTATTACTAAAATTTTACCTAAGGTATACTCTTAAAATACTGATTTTTTTCTTTAATATTTGAAACTAAATTATATTAGTGTTGTATTGATTTTTTTCCAAAGAACTTATAATGTACCAGTGTTAGGCATTTTAACTGTTGAATAGATGAGTGTTCTCTCGAATAAGAAAATTATGAGTGACAAAAATTCAGGTTAAACAAGTTAAATTACCATCTTGGAGATATAAAAAATTATGAATGAAAAAAATTTACATCACATAAATCACAATGATAAACAAATGTACATATTTTCTTAGATATACACACACATTTGGATACTTCTTGTATCATAATAATGAGGCAAGTATGGATTAGATTAACACATCTACTGATACCATACACACTAGTTTTCACACTATCAAGGAACTAATAATAAGGTCTTTACTATTTGAGGTTTGCCATAGGCAGTAATAAATACAGCAAAGTTGGATACAGCAGTACAAAAATGGTAACTTTTTTGAGACCATGAAAAATATGGATGTTTCCTTACATTTGATGTGCATATACTCCATGCTGTCACCTGAGAAGTGTAGGGAATGAAGTCCCTACTGAGATACAAACTTTTTGCATCACAAATAAAAATACTTAATGCATTCCTAAATTTATAGTTATTTGGGCTTAATACTTGTAATTTATTGAAACAAGCCTTGGTAATACCCATACACAAAGTTGAATGTTAACAGTCTGATGGATAGTCCTTTTTTCACTTCTCAAAACATTCTTATGGCCTTCAAGAAATGCTAAGTCATCTATGTCATGTAATTTAAGCTAACTGCCATATTCTAATACTTAAAAAAAATTCCATTAACTTTTTAGGAGGTTAAGGGAAAAGAGCAATATATTAGCTATGGTTGCTAATACAATCAAGTAATCTGGTTAGAACTCAATCCCAATTTTCAACTTCAATATTAACCTAATAATGGTAATACACCTACTAGTACACGTAATGGTTAGGTCTTGAATATCACCATGATGGTCGCAATTCAAAAAAGGTGTATTTATTTCATTTATATCCAAAATGCAGGTGGCTGGTCAGAAGCTTAAGAGGCCCATTATGGGTTTCATATTATTCATATTCAAGTCTCCCTAACTATCATAAACTAGTATACTTACATTTAAATGATGTTGTACTGACTTCATAACATGGAGAAAATTATCACCAGCATGTGTGTGTGTTTTAACCAAATTTATGCACAACAGGATGAAATATATCTTTATTAACATAATCACTTCATCAAATATATAATGTCAAATAATCCTAGCCATGTATTTTGAACTACATTTATCTTTCTAATTAAACTAACTCATTCTTAAGGCTAATGGTAGTATGATATTAAACATTTTCATTTCTTCCTATCAATATAATATCCACTATAGTAAATGATATATGATATCTATAAGTAAATATTGGGGAAATCCAAATACATTAATGAATGATTAAGATTATAACTATCAGCTGTTACACGTTTGGTTCATTGCGGCGGTGAGATCGATAACCACGCTCTTCTCTATCACGCCGTCGAGCACGATCCTCACTGAAAAGGAATCGTAAATGTCAGTAGTGCCTTTATGTAAATTGTCAATGCATCTCCATTAAAATATTGGCAAAGTTTCTGCATTCTTACCACTTCTGCATATGCCACAAGACTTTGGAGAAAAGAAAATTTACAATTATATTGCCCTTCAGGAGTCAATGTACTAAAAATATATCTGAAAAAGAAAAAATTACGGCACAGCTTTACAGGAATTATTCTTCCGAAGATACACAACAAACACTAACCGTTAACTTTTGCCGAGATAAACTGTACAATTTGACGAATGAAAAAATTATAACAAGTGTCTTTACTTGCCAGAAATGTTCTAAAGATTATTTGTTTATGATGTCATTATACAGGACAGCAGGTAACCCCCCCATCCCACTTAGGATGTTAATTTTTTATTAACACATCGGCCATCTCCCACCAAAAAAGAAAAACTTTTATAATTCTTGCCATCACCGTCTTGCCAGAGGCGCACTCACACTACAGTTATACAACTGCAACATTAACACCCCTCCTTCAGAGTGCAGGCACTGAACTTCCCATCTCCAGGATTAAAGTTCGGCTTCCCCTGAATCCCTTCATAAATGTTACCTTGTTCTCACTCCAACAGCACATCGAGTCCTAAAAACTATTTGTCTCTGCTCCTAACACGCTCATGCATGCTTGCTGCAAGTCCAAGCCCCTCGCACACAAAACCTCCTTTACCCCCTCTCTCCAGTCTTTCTTAGGCTGACCCCTACCCCACCTTCCCTCCACTACAGATTTATACACTCAAGGTCACTGTATTTTGTTACATCCTCTCTACATGTCCAAACAATCGCAACAACCCATCCTCAGCCCTCTGGATAATTGTTTTGGTAATTCCGCACCTCCTAATTCCCAACTACAAATTCTCTGCATTATATTGACACCACACATTGCCCTCAGACATGACATCTCCACTGCCTCCAGCCTTCTCCTTGCTGCAACATTCACCACCCATAACTATATTCTCATACATCTCCTCAGTGCACCACTCACCTTTTTCCTCTCATCAATTCTATGATTCACCTCATCTTTCATAGACCCATCTGCTGACACGTCCACTCCTAAATACCTGAATACATTCACCTCCTTGTTGCCTTATTTTTTTTTTTTTATCTTCACCTTACTCTTTCCTATATTCACTTTTAATTTTCTCCTTTTACATACCTAACCAAACTCATCCACCAACCTCTGCAACTTCTCTTCAGAATCTCCCAAAAGCACAGTATCATCAGCAAAGAGCAACTGTGACAACTCCCACTGTGTTAGATTCTTTACCTTTTAACCCCACACCTCTTACCAACACCTGAGCATTCACTTCTCTTACAACCCCATTCATAAATGTACTGAACAACCAAGGTGACATCACATCCTTGTCTATGGCCTAAGGATGTTAATGTTTCCTGAAAATTGTATGCAAGTCAACTGTGGGGAATACACAACCTATTTTGCAGTTGACACCCAAGTTAAAATAGGAGATGTGTTCCTGAATGATGATATTCAGTAAAACAGCTGGGATTGATAGGATCAACAAAGAAATCTTAAAAGCAGGTGGATATAAAGTTTTGGAGTGGTTGGTACTTTGATAAATGTATAAAAGAGAGGAAGGTACCTAGGGAATGGCAGAGAGCATGTATAGTTCCTTGGTATAAAGGAAAGGGGAACAAAAGTATAAAAATTATAATGGAATCAGCCTACTGAGTACACCAGGTAAAATGTATGTTAGGGTTATTATTGAAAAAATTAAGGGAAATGGAGAGCAGGATCACAGATGAACAAGGTGGCTTTAGGAAGGGCAGATGTATAGACCAAGCATTAACATTGAAGCATACAAATGAACATTTAGATAAAGATAAGGAAGTTTTTGTTGCATTTACGGATTTGCAAAAGGCATATTATAAGGTGACTAGGGGAGCAAAGCAGCATATGTTGCAAATGAATGGAATAGGTAGTAGATTACTTAAAACTGTTACACAGTTTTTATGAGGGTAGTGAGGCTCTGGTTAGAGTATGCAGGAGAGGGGGGAGGAGATTATTTTCCAGGGATGTGTGATCTCATGATGGCTGTTTAACATTTATTGATGTGGTTGTAAGAGAAGTGAATGCTAAGGTGTTGGGGAGAGATGTGGGATTAAAAGAAACGAATAATACAAAGTGGGAGTTGCCACAGTTGCTTTTTGCCAATGACAGTGTGCTTTTGGAAGATTCTGAAGAGGTGGAAACACTAGTAGATAAATCTGGGAAAGTATGTAAAAGAAAAATTAAAAGTGAACACAGGTAAGAGCATGGTGATGAGAATAGCAAAAAAATTTAGGTAATGAAAGACCGAATATCAGATTGGAATAGGGAAGTATGGAGGAAGTGAATGTGTTCAGATATTTGGGAGAGGACTTGTAAGCAGATGGGTCCATGAATGATGTGAACCATAGAAATGACAAGGGAAGAATAGAGTGGGTGGTGCAATGAGGCATCTGTAGAGATGAATGTTATCCACAGAGGCTAAAATGGGGAATGTATAAGAGTATATATAATGGTACCAACAATGGGGGCGAAGCATGGGTTTTAAATGTTACAGTGAGGAGGCCGGAGGCAGTGCAAATGTCTGAGGGCAATACGTAGTGTGAATATCATGCAGAGAATTTGTAGCTCGTAGATTAGGTAGTAGTGCAGAGTTACTAAACGTATTATCCAGAGAGCTGAGGAAGGAAGGGGGAAGATTGATAAGGTATGGACATTTAGAGAGGGGGAAGCAAAATAGTTTGACTTGGAAGATGTATAAAGCTGTGGGAGGAAGAAGGGGTAAGGGTCATCCTAAGAAAGGTTGGAGAGAAGGGGAAGTCAAGGTTTTGTATGTGAAAAACTTGGACATCCAATAGGCATGTGTATGTTAGATAGGGATATGAATATGATGGAGCGGACCCCAGCATTTATGACTTACTGAAGTCTGAGCAAGGTAACACTTATGAAGGGACTCAAACTCGTTAGTTAGACTTGAGCTGTAGAGGTGGGAAGTACAGTGAGTGCACTCTAAAGGAGTAGATATTGTAGTTTAGAGAGGCATCTGAGCTGTAAAGTTTGTATGCCTGTAGTAAGACTGTGTGTGTGGTGTGCGTGTGTGTGGTGCGTGTGAGTGGTGCGTTTTGTGTGTGGTGCGATCTGTTGCAGTTCTTGTGTGTGTGGTGTGTGGTGTGGCTGTGGTTTGGTGTGTGTTGTGTGTGTGTGGGTGTGTTGCGTGTGTGTGGGGTGTGTGTGGTGTGTGACGGTGTGTGTGGTGTGTGTGTGGGTGGTGTGTGTGTGTGTGGTGTGGTGTGGTGGGGCGGATGTGTGTGTGGTGTGTGTGTGTGTGTGTTGTGTGGTGTGTGTGTGTGTGGTGTGTGTTGTGTGGATGTGTGTGTGTGGTGTGTGTGTGGTGGGGTGTGTGTGTGGTGTGTGTGTGTGTGTTGTGTGTGGTGTGTGTGTTGTGTGGGGTGTGTGTGTTGTTCTGTGGGTGTTGTGTGTGGTGTGTGTGTTGGTGTGTGTGTGGTGGTGTGTGTGTGTGTTGTGTGTGATGGTGTGTGTGGTGTGTGGTTGCTGTGTGTGTGTGTGTGTGTGTGGTGTGTGTGTTGGTGTCTGTGTGTGTGTGTGTGTGTGTGTGGTGTGTGTGTGTGTCTGTGTGTGTGTGTGTGTGTGTGTGTGTGGTAGTGTGTGTGTGTGTGTGTGTTGGGTGTTGGTGAGTGTGTGTGTGTGTGTGTGTGTGTGTGGTGTGTGTGTGTGTGGTGTGGATGTGTGTGGTGTGTGTGTGTGTGGTGGTGTGTGGTGTTGTGTGTGTGGTGTTGGTGTGTGTGGTGTGTGGTGAGTCGTGTGTGTGTGTGGTGTGGTGTGTGTGGGTGTGTGGTGTGTGTGTTGTTGGTGTGTGTGTGTGGTGTGGTGTGTGTGTGTGTGTGTGAGTGTGAATGTGTGTGGTTGTGTGTAGTGTGTGTGTGGTGTTGTGTGTGTGTGTGGTGTTGTGTGTGTGTTGTGTGTGTGTGTGTGTGGTGTGTTGTGTGTGTTATGTGTGAGTGTGTGGTGTGTGTGTGGTCTGTGTGTGTGGTGTGTGTTGTGTGTGTGGTTGTGTGTGTGTGTGTGTGTGGTGTGTGGTGTGTGTGGTGTGTGTGTGTGTTATGGTGTGTGTGGTGTGTGGTGGTGTGTGGTGTGGTGTGTGTGGGTGGTGTGTGTGTGTGGAGTGTCTGTGTGGGGTGTGTGTGTGGTGTTGGTGTGGTGTGTGTGTGCTGTGTGTGTGTGGTGTGTGTGGGTTGTGTGGTGTGTGTGGTGTGGTGTGTGTGTGTGGTGTGTGTGTGAGTGGGTGTTGTGTGTGTGTGTGTGGTGTGGGGGTGTGTGTTGTGGTGTGGTGTGTGTGTGTGTGTGTGGTGTGTGTGTGTGTGTGTGTGTGTTGTGTGTGTGTGTGTGTGTGGTGTGTGGTGTGTGTGTGGTGTGTGTGTGTGTGTGTGTGTGTGGTGTGTCTGTGTAGTGTGTGACTTGTGAGGTGTAGTTGTGTGTGTGTGTTTGGTCTGTGTGTGGGTGTGTGTGTGTGTGTGTGTGGTGTGTGTGTGGGTGTGTGTGTGTGGTGTGTGTGTGTGGTGTGTGTGTGTGGTGTGTGTGTGTGCGTGGTGTGTGTGTGTGGATGGGTGTGTGTGGATTGTGGATGTGTGGGTGTGTGTGTGTGGTGTGTGTGGGGTGTGCCTGTGTTTGTGTTTGGTGTGGGGTGTGCTGTGTGTGGTGTGTGTGTGTGGGGTGTGTGGGTGTTGTGGTTGTGTGTTGTGTGGTGTGGCTGTGTGTGTGTGTGGTGTGGTGTGTGGTGTGTGGTGCTTGTGGTGTGTGTGTGGTGTGTGTGTGGTGTGTGTGTGTGTGTGTGTGTTGTGTGGGGTGTGTGTCGTGTGGGTGCATGTGTGTGTTGTGGGTGTGTGATGGTGTGTGGGGTTGTGTGTGTGTGGGGTGTGTGTGGATGTGGGGTAGTGTGTGTGTGGGGTGTGTGTCGTGTGTCGGTGTGTGTGTGTGTGGTGTGTGTGTGTGACGTGTGGTGTGTGTGTGTGTGGTGTGTGTGTGTGTGGTGTGTGTTGTGTGTGGTGTGTGTGATGTGTGGTGTGTTGTGTGGTGGTGTGTGTGTGTCGTGGTGGGGTGTGTGTGGTGTGGTGTGTGCCTGTGGTTGTGTGGTGTGTGTGTGTGTGGTGTGTGTGTGTGGGGTGTGTTGGGGTGTGTGTTGTGTGGGGTGTGTGTGTGTGGGGTGTGTGTGTGTGGGGTGTGTGTTGTGTTGGGGGTGTGTGTGTGTGGGGGTAGTGTGTGTTGGGGTTGTGTGTGTGGGGTGTGTGTGGTGTGTGTGTGGTGTGTGTGTGGGTGTGTGTGTGGGGTTGTGTGTGTGGGGGTTGTGGGTGTGGGGTGTGTGTGTGGGGTGTAGTGTGTGGGGTGTTGGTGTGGGGTTTGTGTGTGGGGTGTGTTGGGGTGTGTGTGTGTGGGGTGTGTTGTGTGTGTGGGGTGTGTGTGTGTGGGGTGTTGTGTGGGGTGACTGTGAGGGGTGTGTGTGGGGATGTGTGGGGTGTGTGGGTGTGTGTGGGGGTTGTGTGTGGGGTGTGTGGGGTGTGGTGTGGGGTGTGTGTGGGGTGTGTGTGTGGGGTTGTGTGTGTGTGGGAGGTGTGTGTGTGGGGTGGTGTGTGGGGTGTGTGTGTGGGCGTGTGTGTGTGGGGAGTGTGTGTGGTGGGGTGTGTGTGTGTGGTGGGTGTGTTGTGGTTGTGTGATGTGTGTGGTGTGGTGTGTGTGGTGTGTGTGTGTTGTGGATTGTGTGGTGTGGTGTGTGTGTGTGTGGTTGTGTGGGTGTGTGTGTGTTGTGTGTGTGTGTGTGTTGGTGTGTGTTGTGTGTGTGTGTTGTGTGTGTGTTGTGTGTGTGTTGTGTGTGTGTTGTGTTGTGTGTTGGGTGTGTGTGTTGTGTGTGTGTTGTGTGTGTGTGTTTGTGATGTGTGGTTGTGTGTGTGTGTTGTGTGTGAGTGTTGTGTTGTTGTGTGTTGTGTGTGTGTGTTGTCTGTGTGTGTGTTGTGTGTGTGTGTTGTTGTGTGTGTGTTGTCGTGTGTTTGTGACGTGTGTGTGTTGTGTGTTGTGTTGTGTGTGTGTGTGTTGTGTGTGTGTGTTGTGTGTTTGTGTGTGTTTGTGTGTGTGTGTTGTGTGTGTGTGTGTTGGTGTGGGTGTGTTGTGTGTGTGTGTGTGTGTGTGCGTGTGTGTTGTGTGTGTGTGTGTTGTGTGTGTGTGTTGTGTGTGTGTGTGTTGTGTGTGTGTGTTGTGTGTGTGTGTTGTGTGTGTGTGTTGTGTGTGTGTGTTGTGGGTGTGTGTTGTGTGTGTGTGTGTGTGTGTGTGTGTGTGCATTGTGAGTGTGTGTGTGTGTGTGTGTGTGTGTGTGTGTGTGTTGATGTGGGTGTGTGTGTGTGTGTGTGTGGTGGTAGTGGTGTGGTGTGTGTGTGGTGTGTGTTGATGGTGTGTGTGTGGTGTGTGTGTGGTGTGTGTGTTGTGTGTGTGGGTGTGTGTGTGTGTGTGTGTGGTGTGTGTGTGGTGTGTGTGGTTGTGTGTGGTGTGTACTCGCCTAGTTGTGGTTGCTGATGTCGAGTCACAGCTCCTGGCCCCGCCTCTTCACCTGTATGCATATTTTTCAACAGGTTGGCCATCTCCCAAAGAAGTAGGGTAGCCCAAAAAAGAAACACTTTCACCATCATTCACACAATCACTGTCCTGCAGAGATGCCCAGATATGACAATTTAGATGCCACTCCAAACAGCCAATATCCCAAACCCCTCCTTTAAAGTGCAGGCACTGTACTTCCCACCTCCAGGACTCATGTCTGGGTAACCGGTTTCACTAAATTCCTTCACAAAATATTACCCTGCTCACACTCCAACTGCTGGTCAGGTCCCAAAAACCATTCACTATCTAACATGCTCATACATAACATTATATAATTACAGCCTGGTAGGTAAATAACCATTTTAAGTACAAGAATGCAAAATCTGTGTAACTTTGTTACACCAACCTCCATGTATGCAATCTCCCACCTCGCTATATACCTCCAACTACAATTTTCTTGCAAACTGTCGGAGTATCAAGCATGATTTTCTCGACACCTCCAGCACCACTATTATTCCTTTTGGATGCCATGATTAATATTCAGAGACGAGACAGGTTGATGATACAATGGAAAATAGACCAAAGACAACAAAGCCACAATCCTATGGTGCATGTCAAGATACAACGTCCAGTTTGTTTACACCAAACAGCAAAGCTAGGCCTCCCTCACACCCCCAAAACAATGGCCTTGCCCAAAGGAAGTTATCCCACTGCCGAGCTCCATATTGGTAATGTGTGCCACTAATGGAGAAGCTATTGCAATTCCATCCCGGCACTCCATAATGGTAATGGAGTGCTATTGGAGAAAAGTCAATGTTAGATGCAAGATACTGAAAACCAGAGTTTCAGTTGTGCAACTATACTATGGACATGTTTATTTAGTACTCAATTTTCCCCTACAATTCATAGATTCTGTTCTCACCATGCTCTTTGTATCCAACAGACTGGCTGGAGAGACAAGGCTACAATTAACAGATTGACAATGATGCCTCCACCCATGCTGAATGACCCTTACAGGTCTAGTGTTCATGTAATACTATACAGTTATTGTCTGTTTATAAAAAAAAAAAATTGGGAGTGACTTGCTTTTATGTACTTTTTTTTTTATCTCCTTACAGTGGTGCATTCACTTTGACTTTTGTTGGGAAACTGTTCCTCTGAAATCCATTCATTCTACTTATGGCTTTCCAGCACTTCCATTAAATCATTTTTTATCATGACTATTTATTTAAAAATATGAAAAGACAATTTTCTAATATGCTGTACAATTAGAATTCTTTGTATATTTTGTTTATTTGTACCTTGTAACACTTTCATTCAGTACACAAAATACCAGTCACGGTATTGTGCTTTTTTTTTTTTATTTTTTCATTGTTTTATTTCTGAAATTGTCTTAGATTAACATATTTTCCTTTTTCTGTAATCTAATTTTTTTTACCCTCAAGTTGCACCGTGTAACAAGCATTATCTCTGAAGAATTTTTTTTTTTAGCACGTATTAAGTTCAGTTGAGACACTATTGTGTGGTTGCATCAAGGAAAAAAAAAAAAGTTATTATATTCAGAAAATTGGTCAGCCATTTGTTTTCTGTTTCAGAATCACAGGCCATCCAGTACTTCTTTATTACTGAAATTCTCAATAACTCTTTCACAACAACTTTTCAGTAACTTCCCCTAGTTAGCATTTTTTTTTTTTCAACAAACCGGCCACATCCCACCGAGGCAGGGTGACCTAGAAAAACAAGTTTTTCTTTTTAAATTTAGTAATTTATACAGAAGGGGTTACTAGCCCCTTGCTCCCAGCATTTTAGTCTCCTATGACACACATTACTTACGAAGGAAGAATTCCGTTCCACTTCCCCGTGGAGAGTTAGGATATTATGCTTATTTATTTTCTCTTGTGCTATTAAACCTCTTCAAGGGGGGCTCCTTGGCGTGGTGAAGAGGCTCTTGGTCTGAGGAATTAGTCCTGTCGGTCTTCTTCCTCAGCCGAACCTAAATACCCTTCCCATTCTTCTCCCCTCCCCTATCCCATCCTCACCCATCCTCCCCTTTTCCCATTCCTCCGCCTCCTACTCACCCTCCCTTTTGCCCTTCCGTCTTTTACTCTTCGGAATGCATCCCACAGCGCGTCTAGAGTTCCTAGGTAGGGAAAGACAAACTGGTCGATCCCATTCAGTTGTGAGGTTTTCTTTCGGTGGCGTAGTTTGCCGTGGATTCTGATTGCACTAGGATGTCCACGATCCCTATCTTCCGGTAATCCCGAGTACATTGGGTGTCTTTTGGTCGACGGTCTGTATACTCTGAAGCCATCCTTCGGATTCGGGGGTGGTGGCTGAAGTAGAGGCATGCTTTGTGCGGATATCCGGCCAGCCCTCTATTCTTTTGTCCACCGAGGTAAGCTCGGACAGATGGTGAGGTGAGCTATCCCGGATTGCTGTTTACTGCATGAAGGGTAGGGTAAGCACGGGTCTCCATGCTGCATCTGCGCTACAGCGGTGTCCATTCCTCTTGGGCGCGGAGGGAGATTTCTCGGGTCCCTTTCATTCTCCTGTAACTATTCCTCCCCCTCTCCCCCCTATATATTTATCTTTTGTTTTTATTTCTTTAGTCTTCTTCTTTTTTTTCTGAAAAACAAAAGCAAGGAGTAAACCTAACCATTGGGCAGCCCTAGTCCATGAAACCACTACCCCCGGGACCCCTTCTTGGATACCCCACCCCTCATTCCGTGACCTGCCTTGTGTTTAGAACCACTCTTCGTAGCATCCTGAAGCCTCCTGTACCTCTTCTGTGTGCTGTTTCCTACCCCTCAGTACCGGGGCTTCGACTACTTATCCTTCGATTTGTCCAGAACTACCCGATCATCCTTTGACTATGCTTCCCGCTTCTCCCTCAACGTACGGCAATTTTCGAATCGCCCACCATGTTCACGCGGACCAACTCGGACCTACTCCTAACCCCCAACGTCAATCACCTGATGACGCACCGTCGTTACCTTCCGCATCTACTCAGAAACGATCCGACACGTCAAGTAACTAGGCCCTCGTCCAAGCTCAGTTTCGACCAACACAATGGACTAAGCTTCTTACTTTAAGACCACTTCTCTCATCCTACCTTTTCTGACCATTAGCATGGCCAAAGCGCTCCTGCGTCATGTTGGCAGAGATATTTCATTCACGCTCTCAAGAGCGTAACGGCGCATCGTTACACTGTCCAGATTGCTACCCAAGCTCATGTTCTTTCTCTCCTTTCGAAATATCGATACTTTCTCCTCATCACTATGGAAAAACTCTTACTCTCTAATTCGTGTAGTGGTCCACTGCCCATTCTGCCCCCATACCATATCCAACAGAATTTCCAGTCTGCTGGCAATGACATTTTTGAACAGCTGGAACTCCAGGATCTCCAATCCATCAAAGTAACACTTATGTCCTTCCTGCCCGGGGCGGAGACCGTTACCCATTGCAACGTGGCTACTCGTTAAACTCTTTACAGCCGAGAGAACTACCGTCCTCTGTATATGTCCGCGGCATCGGAATTACACGTTCGAAAGGTGATACTACACCGCAACAATGTATAAAATTGCTGGCGTTTTGTCACCCGCGAATTAATGGACAGATCTATGGCCGAATTGCATCCAGTTCCGTGTGCCGACACCATTCTAATACATCTTGCCGTCACCTCCAACTGCCTTAATGTAATGAAGCTCACCCTACGTACTCCCGCCGTTGCCAGGTCTAACGTTTATGAACGTGAAATCCGGTCCTCAAGAGGCAGAAGTCTCCCTTATGCTAAGGCAGTTACTCATCTCCGCCTCCAAGGGAGACTACCCCGTGTTTTTCTTTATTTCCTACTCTCGTGTTTCCCAAACTTTTCCCCCACTTCTGGGGTCCCATCTCTGCGCAGCCTCCTCAGTTGTTCTACCCCCTCCCTCCCATAGCCATTATTACTGAGCATCTAATCTCTTTTGCTGTCCTTGGACCTGCTCCCGACTACACTCAGATCTGTTCTCACATCTTCGCGTCCGTTCCTCACAAGCCCCAGTATCGACAAGACCTCGTACACGACACACCTTAATACCAATCGCCCCCTCTAACTCAGCAAGTCCAAAAAAAATCCACATTGCTCAATCTACTTGCCCCTTCCTTTCCCTTTCTCCACCTCCACACTTAACTTTCCATCTCTGTACCTATTCTTCCCTCTCTCTGCCTATTACAATTGTTGGAGATTCACCCGAGCCTCCTCGTACTTATGCCTTCCAACCCCCGTGCCCCCTCCCAAGTTTTCTCCCTCTTTCCTGTCACCTCCCAGGTTTCTAGCACCTTCTGTCCTCCCCCACACTTCATCTCCAGTCCCTACACTTTTCCCTCCCCTCTACTTTGGTACTGTCCATTAATAGTCCCAATCATTACCACCCTCCTCCTCCTACATCCAATATGGCGTTTCCCATACATCATTGAAATCAGAAACACTTGAAGCCATTTCAGAATATACTTGCAGAGACAAACCTTCAATGACACATGCAATATCAATTCCTTGTTCTTCCTCGTACCCTCTCATCCATCTTCACAACCCCATTCTTTCGTCAACACGCTCCGTTTCCTTCGCAACTTGAACATCTCTCAATACCCACCACACGTTGACTTTCTACCCAACCCCTCTAGTCCGTAGGTGCTTACTACAGATTCCTGGATATTTTCTTCATCCCAATCATGGCCTATTTACATGGAATATCCGCGGCCTCAGGGGTAAACGGGGTGATCTTCAATGTTGGCTTTCCAGGTTTCACTGTTTGTGCTTGCTTACAAGACCCAAAATTACACGTCGTCTGTTTCCAACCGTATCTCAGGATATAAATATTAGTGTATTCTTCGGATCCTTGCTCAGATGGAGGACCCTTTAATTGAAAGTGCCCTTCTTCTACGCAATGATATTCCGTACTGTCAACTATTGTCCATACCTCGCTGCATTACACTGCAGCCCGTATACATCTTGAATAAGTGGTTTAACAATATGTTTCATTATATCTCTCTCCTTCTCGAGCATTTTCTATCCAGACTTTGCCTTTTCTTGTTTCATCTTACCACCACCACTTCTGTTACTTTGTGAGCTTAATGCCACCATTTCCTCTGGGGGGGGGTCTCAATTGTGACTCACGTGGCCATTTCAGTTGGAGGCTTTTCTTCCTCTCACCCCGCTCCATGTGTAATAACTGGTCACTCCCACCCATTATTGATGCCTCGTACTCATACTCTCTCTTGCATTCGATCTATCAGGTCTGCCTCTCTCCACTGCACTAGACTTCACCTGGTCTGTTTCTACTGACTTACATGACAGCGATCATTTTGCCGATCATTCATACTTCTCCTTCCCTATGCACCTAAACCCCCAATTTCCCCACCCGTAGCCCTCGCTGGCAATTTGATCGCCCAAATTGGACGCTTTGAACTCCACCTCACTGCTTTTATGAGGTTTCCTTTCCTTCAACTCCATTGATGAGCTCCACACATCTTCTCGAAATCAGTTTACTACCAGCAGCTTCTCATTCATACCCAAACCTCAGGCACATTCTCAGAAGTGCGTGCCTGGTGGTGCTCCTGCTTGTGCTCTCGTGCAGTTAACGTTTGAAACGTGCTTGCATGGGCCGGTACCGGTACAATAGAACCGCTGAGAGACTTGTTGATTTTAACATAAGAGCTTGCGATTCAGCTCGCTGTCGTGTCTCCCGTGAAGCTAAACGCACTTGTTGGCAGACTATGTTTCCACCATCTCATTCTGCTTCTTCTATAGTGAAGTACTGGAAAAAAGTGAGGAAAGTGACGTGGTAAATACTGCTCCTGACACCGGCGCCTGTTATTCCTTACGGTCACTCGGAGTTTGATATAGCAAACCCTCTCTTGACGTTGCCATTAAACTTGCACACTTTGACCCATCTGGTCCGTATTTCCCGAAGGGCTCCATCTATCACCCCTCGATTCTTTCCCAAAGTCTGCCAAGACTAAAGTAACCCCTGGACGTTCTCTCGTCGGAGAGAACAGCTATAATGAGGTCCTTTACACTTACAAAGAACTGATTGGCAACGCTCCTCTAGCTTGACCTATCATCGGCAGCTGGCCTGATGACATTCATATACGTATGTTTCAACCTTTACATCGTCACAACCCTTGTAGTCCTCTTACACTCGTTCATCTTATTTGGGGCACCAGGATTTTTTTCCCCACTGTGGAAATCTGCCATTTTCTACTTTCCGTAACTCGGTACTCAGGACAGGAATCCTCTCCACTATCGCCACCATCGCTCTACAAGTGCAGTTGAAAAGTGATGAACGCACTCTAAATCGATCGTTTAATGTGGTATTTAGAGACTCACAACATCTCCTCCCGCTAGTCAATACATGGCTTTCGTAAGGGTCCTTATCTAACCATAGACCCCTTACTACCTTGGATAGATGTTCGTAATGCTTTGCGCAATTAATCACTTCCATATTGCCATATTTTCTTGACCCTGAGAAGGCATATGACACAACTTAGTTAGCGTATAATATTTCTGGACCAGGCCATTCCTTATGGCTCCGAGGCAATCTACCATCCTTCGCTTAAGAACTTTTCAACATGACAGACATTTCCGTGTTCGATTCAATAATCTTCTTTCTATTCCCGGACTTCGTCCAAGCTGAGGTGTCCCTCAGGATGTGTTTCTAACACAAACCAACTTTTTCTCCTTTGCT